CTCTCTCCCTCTCTCCTAGTTCAGTTCATTTGTTGATGTTATTTGAGTTGGACTATGTGTAACCACGTCATAAACTCGGAGACAAACTCAGCAATGTTGCTAGCTATTCCTCACTTGTAAAAAACTATTGAAAAAAATATACCCACAATAATAAGAATTATATAATATGGAGAATGGTAAAACTTAATAAAAACAAGGATATAATAAATTTTTTTAATTTGCGTTCATCTTCAAGGTAATCCAAATAGTGGACAGGTATCTTCTAGCTCTCACTTGCTATCAAATAGCAAATGCCCGTATTCCAGGAGATGCTAATTCCAAGAGAGGCATCTCCCCAAGGGACCAATTTCTAGGGAACCAAATAGGACCTTAGTGAAAAAAAAGTCATATTGCAAAGCTTGACAATGGAATAGAAATGATCAAAACTTAGAAGAATATAGAAATCTCAATAAGAAAGCTAATAAATATATACAACAAATTGGAAACAATGGAAGGTGAAAAAGACATATTCAAACTGGCAAAAATGAGAGAGAAAAAGTGCACTGATTTTGACAATGTTCAATGCACTAAGAGTATGATCATATGGTCTTGATGAAGGATGATGGGGTCAATGAAAGGCGAAAATTTTATTTTAAAAAATTGTTAAATGACGACCACTTTAGAAGCTTAACATTAAGAAGAAACTTTAAAGTAAATAAGGTCGGAAGTCATATACACATTTGTAGCATTAAAATATCTGAAGTGAAAGAAGCTTTATAAAGATGAAGATATGAAATGCTTTAAGACCAAATATAATATAGATTTGGAAGTACATAGGAGAGATTAGCATATAATGGTTGACTAAGTTGTTCAACATGATTTTGAATACAAAAAAAATGTTAGACAAGTAGAGAAAATGTATTCTTGTATCTATTTACTTGAACAAAAGAGATATACAGAGTTGTGCGACCTATCCAAATAGTGGATAGGCATCTTCTAGCTCTCTCACTAGATGTTATCCAAACAGCAAATATCCATATTCCAAGAGATGCTAATTCCATGATATAATAGTTCTAGGAGAGGCATCTCCCCAAGCTACTGATTTCTAGGGAATCAAATAGGACATTGGTGAAAAAACAATCATATTACAAAGCTTGATAAAATATATATACCGTATAAATTTATACAACAAATTGGGGACAATGGAACGTGAAAAAGACATATTCAAACTGGCAAACATGAGAGAGAAGAAGTGCACTGATTTTGATCATATTCAATGCATTAAGAGTATCGATTATATGGTCTTTGTGAAGGATGACGGGGTCAATGAAAGGTGAAATTTTTATTTTAAAAAATTGTTAAATGGTGACCACTTTGGAAGCATAGCATTATGACAAACCTTTAAAGTAAATGAGGTTGGAAGTCATATATATATTTGTAGCATTAAAATATTCGAAGTGAAAGAAGCTTTATAAAGACGAAAATATGAAATACTTTAGGACCAGATGGTATATTAATATAGATTTGGAAGTGCATAAGAGAGAGTAACATATTCTGGTTGACTAACTGTTCAACATGATTTTGAGAATAAAAAAAATGCTAGACAAGTAGAGAAAAAGTATTCTTGTATCTATTTACTTGACCAAAGAATATATACAGAATTGTGCGATTATGAGAGGTTCAAACTTATAAGCCACATTATGAAGTTGTGAGAGAGAGTAAAGAAGCAAGGACCACTACATGAAATGAATGTATCACAAAATCAAATCTGGTTTTTGCCAAGGAGGTCAGCCATTGAGGCTATTTTCCTATTTAAGCAATTGATTGAGAAGTTTAAAGAGAAGGAAAAAGAATTCAACGTGGTCTTTATTTATTTAGAGGAGCATGCACTAGGGTACCGAAAGAGTTAATTTATAGTTGTTGGTAAAGAAATGAGTCTTTAGAATTTCACGAATTGAGGGATATGTACGAGGGAGCACTAACTAGTATACGGATAATTAATGGAGAGGCAAGTTCTCAATGACAGTAGGCCTACATCAGGGGTCAACGCTGAGCCCATATTTATTTACTTTGTTGATGGATGACTTAAATAGGCGCTTACAAGAAGATGTACTGTGGTGTATAGATGACATAGCTTTGATTGATGAGACTAGGGACGACATTAATGCAAAGTTAGAACTTTATAGGGAAGCTTGAATCTAACATTTTAAAATTAGTTGGACTAAGACAGAATATATAGAGTGCAAGTTTAATAATAATAAGGGTAGAAACATAGAACTAGTTAAAATTGATATCCAAAAAGTATCTTAAATAAATCATTTTCGATATCTTGGATCGATAATTTATAAGAATGAAGATATTGAGGAAGATGTTGTGTATAAAATTAGAGGTAGGTGGATGAAGTGGAGATGCGCTTCTGGAGTATTATATGAATGTTGCATACCATTTCCTCGAGCCTAGAGGAGAGAACCTCTCCACTCTCCTTAATAGAAGTGACCAGTGTTTTAAAAGTCATCGATCTGATCTGGAATCAGACGATCCGGATCGGGTATTGGCAGAACAGTTTCGGATCTGGCCAACCGATTTGCTACACAAACAGTTCATTTGCACTTTTTTTTACAAGGGTAGCTCTCGAATGTTTTTCAAAATTGAGGGCTTATGTTGCCCACGTTACCTTGGCATTTGTCCGTTGTGATTGTTTCCCACTCACGCAATCATATCAACCACGTCCTAGTCCCGCGATCGTTTCAAGTTGCACGTGCTACAAACCTTTTATAGTGAATTGGCCTGTAAAGCTTCGATGTGGGCTAATTCAATGCACACCCTTTGTAGTGCACAACCACTTCTTAAACCTTTTTATATAGATTACATGGCATCAAACAATGTGCGTTGAAAATATGTGCGTGCGAACATCATTAAAGAAAATCCTATAATTTATATATAGTGTGCGGTCTCTCTCTCTCATATGTACAACAATGTATAAATTAAATGCTCTATAAATAGATCTCTCTCTTATACAATGACATCTATCAAATGAACTGGTCTATAATTCTTTTTAAGATTAATTATATTTATTTATTTTCTATAATATACAAACATAAAGTGTATATACTTAATCTTTAATTACAAAAATAAAATTTCATATAATAATTTACAAAAATTAACATAATTATATGAAGTTGTTGTTTATTTATGTTAATAACTTAATATAATTATATTAAATTTATGTCAATATAATTATTTTTATATACATTAAAAATAATTTTAAATTATATGAAAGTGTTTTCTAATATTTTTAAATTATTTTGATGTAATATTATAATACCATATTATAATTAATAGTTATATAGATATCTAGATTATAATAATACTATATTATAATTAAAATAATATTATATTAATGTTGACTAAACATAAGTTCATACAGGGAAAGAACATCTCAATATTCACATATTGATAAAAAAAATGAAAGTTAATAATGTAGTACCCCCATTTTTATTGAATTCCTTAAAAATAATATTTATAATGATTTTTAATATTTTTTTTGAATTTTTTTTATTGCCGTATTTGAACGATTCGGCCGATTCCCGATCCAAATTGTCGATTCACCTATCCTGATGAGTTTTTAGGCTATCCGATCCAAAACACCGATCTATGTTTTAAACCACTAAAAACCACTCAAGCAACACGAGGTCCACCTACTATAGTCGCCATTTTAACTCAGCCACACGTTCAGTCACTGTTGGGACCGTCACTTCGAGAAGGACGAGCTCGGCTCTGACATCAACCGTTACGTAGGCACTCTTATTATCATTTTACTCACTAGCCACACTGTGCGGCCTTGGCTCCAAGCCCGTTCTACTTTGAGTGAAGTTCAACACCTACACCCAGCACCACCGATACACACAAGTATACACAGGTAGGGACCACGAGAGTTCAGAAGGGCCGTGACCCAAATTTATCCAAGCTCTTTACAGTTACAAGGGTATGATGCCCCTCAACAGTCTGGGCATGGGGTTATATAAAACTCTTGTACAAGAATTGAAATTCAACATACAAATGAACACTGAGCAGCGAACCTCTACCGCACCTGCCAAAGTGACCATTGGAATACCATGAGCCCTGGCCGCGTCATGACGGGCACTGCCCACCTTTGGCCAACACACAGCATCGGCCAGCACCAAAATTAAAATTCGAACATCTGCCGGTCGTGCACCACGAAGTCCATGGTCCAACTCACCGTCTTGCTACGCGCTGGCCTGGCTTTAGGGCATGGGCTCTAGCTTGTTGTCTTGCACCAGGCCACCCAATCAACCCAAGGCTTATCCACTCCCCCTATGCAGCCATGTAGGTTTAACAAATTGACCCGCCAAGACTGGCAATTCAAGACACCAAAGTGGACACTGTGTACCATAGCACACAGGATGGTCACTCTCTTGTGTCGGCTAGGTCGAGGAGGTTTCCTGGCCCTACCCTCGACCAATACACACACCGAGCTGGGGTCTAACAGTAGGGCGGCATGAAGTAATATGAATATTTGGGATGAGGCATTCTTTGAAACCTTCACTTGAGAGAGCGTGAATACTGTAAATTTCCTAACTTTTGTTCCTATCGCTACAATGGGATGCTGCGTTAGCAACGTAAGAGCGGGGAGTTAAAACGGATGGCAAGGGAGAATTAGTTTATCCATTAGTTCCAAGCTTAAATGAGTGTTGATTTGTCGTAATCATGTTTTAAAAGTCTTCAATTTGGATTGGGAAGTGAGGATTCGAAACAGGATTGGACTGATGCAGTTCATTTATGGAGTCAGGAATTGGTTCAATTTGGAGAGACCTGCCATGTTCTGTCAAAAAACTGGGTGATAAGATCAAGAACTGGCACTCCAGGTTGTAGAACAAAACGTTTACCATTGAATTTAACTTTTTATTTTTATATTTTAAAACTCACCTCAGCGAATCTGCCAATTCACATCGCGCACCACATGTGTAAGGACCCAATTCTGGGCTTTAAAACACTAGTCATTATCATTCAAATCTCTCATCCACGAACTTCGATAACCAAGAAAAAAGATACATTGCTTTCTCGATGGATAAAGGATAAGTATCACCACTAAGCATTCTCTGACAACAAGAACATATACAACTATCCACACCATGACATGAGAAAAAACTAAATTTGTATCCGTGTAAAAAGTACTAACTTTTGTTGACATGCCTAGAGACTGAACCGGGCAATCTCCAACATGCTATGCACATGAACAATGCAAAGGCATGGCCTTATATTATCTCACTAGTTCTTGAGGGAATGAAAACCAATCTCGAAAACCATCTTGGGGATGCACTGATAGAACAGCATGAAGAAAGCTATTCACAATGCCTGGGAAATTGCTATAATACACTCTTAGATGAAAAGCCTTTACAAAGCATAGCCTCTAAATCTTCCTTTCCAAAGGGAAAGATGCCTTAATTTTAAGATGGAGCTTTGCTGCAAGGTTCAGATAGGAACCCATCATTTTGCAGAAGCTCCTTTTGATCAGAAAATTCTCCACTTCTCACAGATTTATTGGCACCACTATGAATTCTTTGAAACTTAGTTGGATGACCACTCAAATCATCGCAACTATAAGGCCTCTTCAGGCTGCTCTTTGGCTTCTCTATTGCACCTGCAGTCCAATAATTTAAAATTATGGCTAAGAACAAGATACCAAACAGTGAAATGTTAATTACCACCAGTCTTTCCAAAAGTGTAAACAGATCATGAAGGAAATGTTTTTAGTAAGCCCACAGACTCATGCATCCCTCCTGGCTTTCAAGGATGCTAGGACCTTGCCGGCTCAAATCCATGAATTTGGAGCTCTAAAATGGCACAGATCTGATTATTGAAAAATTGAAATGAATAAAAATAATAATAAAAAAAGTAATAAAAAGTGGATCGTTTTAAAGGCTTAAAATTCAATTTTTTTATTTTTTCAATTCAGGATAGTGGAGGTCGGGATGATAAGAGTTGTGAAGTTTTGGATCTCAATCCATCTCCAAGATGCATTTTGGAAGGTGGATGCACTAGATCCTGCCCTATAATGAATAGTTTTTGAAGGAGGCAAGTGTCATTTTAATTGGCGAGCAGGCCAGCATGATCCCTCTAGTTTGAGCCTATATTATTGGTATATGCAAGTGCGCAGGGTAGCCAAGGAAGTTGAATTAGTTTGAAACTGTAAAGGATGCCGATGTCTTAAGATTGAAGAGTACCAGTTCTAAGAGTACACCGGATTAAATATCCAAAACAATTGCAAACAAAATCAACATCCGATAATACTCTAAAGAGTAAACAAAGAAAATCAACATCCGATAATACTCTAAAGAGTAAACAAAGGAAATCAACATCCGATAATACTCTAAAGAGTAAGCAAACCCACTTACTAGTTCATTAAAAAAAAAAAATCCATTTACTCCAACAAATTAACTAAACCAGGAAAAGATTTTCAAGCAGGTTTGAAGCACCAGAGATTAAAATGATTCTAACCTTCTATTGCTATGAAGGGAATTAGTATCGCTATGTTGACATGATCATTTTTTTTTTTGATTCATAGTAGAATGAATCAAGCCATAAATGCTAAAGAAGCAACTCATGCAAAGATGAATGCAAAATCTCATAGCAATATTACTCAATCATTTCCCCATATGAGGAAGTAATAATCGGTAACCAGTGAGATTTTACAGACACTGACATAAAAATTCACATAAAGCCTTATGCACACTTCCTGATTAATAGAATGTGAGCAGAAGGGGCATCTTAGTAGTCTTGTTTCTTAACCATACGCACATGATGAGAGTATTCTCTCCTTTCATTGCTTAGTATAGTCACTTAACATCATCTTTGTACATTACATGATCTCAAAAAAAGAAGTGAGTTTCAGAGTTCACTATTTTTCTTTAGTTCTAGCTATTATACCTGAAACATGCATATCTTGGGTTCAATTTAGAGTGGTTGGAGAATCACCAATCAGGCAATCATTTCTCATATTCTCATTTTTGGCTACTTTTGAAAATTTATTTTAATTGATTGAGATCTAGAAACAAATATGTAATATAATTAAGAGCTCAAACCAAAAAGAATAGTGCTCCCTTTTGTAAAATTTCCAGGATTGAGTATTGATATGTCTGATTTCGTTGGAAATTATAAACTTTTGGGGCTTTGTTTCATGACTATATTGCTTCTTTCCAATTTTCTCAAGTATCTCCATCTGTTTTCTTCTGAACTTTAGGTCCAAAACTTCTATCCTGTTCCCTTTCTTCTAAGGGCTAAACTTGTAGGTGTTCATGGTGCATGATCTTGGTGTTTAAGGAGATCTGTTTGTAAAATTTTATATTTTCCCAGATTTCTCTCTTGTTAACATGCATAAACCAGACACCTGTATTTTTCCAAGGACCCCCATACCCTTCAAACTAGGAATAAATTGACAGCATCACTGATCAACACATGATACATCAATGTCAACCTAAAGGCGATATTCCCAGAAGGTTCTAAATCTCATAACATCAAACCTCTAGAATAATCAAACGTAGGAAAGGGCAGAATAACAAAAATAGAATAAAACTCGGGATATATTATAATGGAGTACAAAGTAAGATAAAAAATGCCTCGCAAAAGTTGATTCCTTGTTCTTTTCACTGATGCAGCTCTCATTCAGCAGACTAGGATGCATGCCTGCAAAGGAATGGCTAAACCTATCACCCATCTAAAAGACTTGTGCTTAGTTTATTACCACGCCATTTCCTTTCGTTTTTTAAGGGAAATTTGTAAAAAATGCCCCTAATATACTAACTATTTTACCCATGTGTTCGATGTAATTTCAAAATACCAATTAAAATACACATAATTTTGAGTTGAAATAATAGAAAAGGCGAAAAATGTTAAATAATTGAAGGTCCTAACTGCGTGTAGAGCAGAATGGTGAAACAAGATTCACGTAGCCGCCAAATAGTTGGTATAAGGCTCGGATGATACTAATGATGATGGTCTTAAATAATTGAAAAGTGAGGTGACACATTTCCCTTTTTTAAGACAGAGAACTGCAGGATCCACAACCAAATGGTAGGAACAAAAAGCTCCATGTCCCTACCGCATAGGGTGAATCCTAAGGTATGAAACTAATTTATCGAAATAAGTGTGAATCAAAGGATTTTCATAAGCCTCAAATTAGTTCTTCAAAGTTGTAAAATGTAACAAAGAACATAGGAACATACCTTCAATGCTTTTGCAAACTTCCCAATCAAGAGGTCTCTTGACTGCTGTGGAGACACCACCCGCAACAAGACCAGATGAGCAGGAAGGCACCCCTTTGCCTTCAGCAAATTCATTATTCTTTTTTACCTTGAAAGGAGATGCACATAATTTAGATTAGTTAAAAACCCAAGTGGTTTTAAAATAGTACATGGCTTCAACCTACGACCCAGAAAGGCATCTGACAGATTTAACAATTCATTTAGAAAATTACGAGAAACTTGGGTAGTGAATGTTTGTCACTAATGATAGAAAAGTGCAGATTGTTCAAAAAACTCGAGTACCGTAATATGAGGCATTGTTTTTCTTTCCTAGGCATGTAGTTTGGAACTATAAAAGCATGCCTGGCAGTTTTCATAAAGACATGGATCTGTGCATCTGCATATCCTATGCTGAAATGTAATGTTTAGAGAACAATTTAATGAACTGGAATAGGTAGGTATGAAGTCATACATTTGGATCAATGTATCTTGAAGCAGAGTCATTTCTGCCTAGAGTGTCAAAATTATTGGAATGCAAGCTCTCCCTGAAAAAACATACAAAGTAAGAATGAGTCATGAGTTGGGGCAAGAATAGAGACGTTCAAGAGAAGCAGCATCTTATGAAAATATGCAATGAATCTAACAACCAAAGGAAGTACTGTAACTTGTAACTATGAAGGGTAATTTCAACCATATCCCGCCAAATTCCCGTTATTTAGAAAGTCCCCAAAAAATTTCTGTTTCTACATTCATTACCCCTCTCTTCAAATTTTTTACTTTTCACCAAATTACTCTTACTTCGGACTTTAAAGGTCTGAAGTTGGGTACATCACGGCATGCTCCTTTACAATAATATTTTCCACATGGGTGTAAAATATATCCCCCTTTACACGATGCACGACAATGGGGTACACGAATGGCATGCTGTTTATACTATTATCTTCCACATGGGTGTAAAATCTAGCCCCACTTGCATGGTTTACATGACAGGGTACATAATTAGTATCTTTTGCACTTAAATCCAAACGACTCTACATCAAACACAATTAAGGTCTCAAATCAACTTAGGACCTTCAAATCCGAAGTTGATGTTTCTCAAAAAGCTACTACAAACCTTGAAGGTCCGAAGTTGATATTTGAGACAACTTCAGACCTTCAAGTTAAAAAGTAAGTTTATGTGCAAAAAAACTACACCTCGGACGTTCCAGGTCTGATCTAGAGGTAATATGGGAAAAAATAAAAAATACAAAACAAGGGTTTGAATGTAAAATCAAACTTTTTGGTGGGGAGTTCCTAAATAGTGATAATTTAGAGGGACATTAGCATGAATTTCTCTAACTATAACTTGTGCAAATTATATTGACCCAGAACACATGAACACGCACAAGTGTGTGTGTGTGGGATGTTTTCTATGATGAATTTACATGGATACTCAGAAAGTGGAATGTAACATTCAAAACTACATCAGCTTACAAAGGTTCATTTGCGAGAGTATGCATTTTCTCATGAAAAATCCGGTCCATCTCCCCTTCTCTGAACTTCACTGCATTATCATCAACTTGAATTGAACCTCTTTCCCTGTTCAGGGTTGGCGCAGGAAACAATGAAGACCCTGAGTAGGCCTCATTTACAATGCAGCATCTGCTTTCAGCCACAAGTGAACTTGCTTCTGATTCCTCTTCTCCTGATGTTGAAAGTGGATGTTTAATAAGAACACTGCCAAGGCCGATCTCTACAGAATCCATTGGGGTTTCACTATCAAAAAGCAGAACATCATCTTCAGAATATCCAGATAGTTGGGAGGAATCCTGCTCATGTAGAATTTCACAGAGATCTTTTCTGAGCTTTTCAACTGGAGACAAATATTGGCGTGTGATACATGTCCTCTTTTTTGAAGGTACGTGCGAGTCCCATACATGTGATTGTGCTGAACCTATATTATGAGTGGGAGAATGTTCAATTACAGGCACACCATAGACAAAACAGAAATAGAATTATGGGGAAATATTCTAGAGAGGAATGGACTACAGAGAAAACAAAGGCAATGGACTCATCGCCATCGATTGAAACGGACAGTGTTGGCGAGAGGGCAAGACCCATTCGGTTCTGCCTTGCTCTTTTTGGGTCCACTAGCACCCCATCGCCATTCGTCATTTCAAAGGACAGTAATGATCCAGCAGACTGTGAATGTATCATAGTCCATCGGATATAGCATACTTTCCCATATCCCTCACTTGAAAAGTCCACTTTAGAAGTTACAAAAACAAGAGGCAACCTGTCACATCATTGACATCTGTGCTTCCAAATTGAACACAACTCTCAGAGTAGGATATCCCAGACCCCGAACTAGACCTATTGCTTGTATCATCTTCAAGACCCTTTGGACCAGGGTCATATCCTTGAAGCCTTTCAATTCTCTCTGCATGCCTATCATCTTGATTTGTTCTCATTGAAAATTGAGGTGGCCTTGATCTACAAGGTGATTTGTCCACTCTAGGACTTTTGTGATTCTCGGTATCAATGGGAGAGACTCCACGAGCATGTAATGGAGCATAGTTTGCTAGACTACCTTTTGTCCTCCATCTTGACCCACATGCATTGCACAACACTGGCTTATCTGCTGGTCCATTTCTCCATAGTGGAGTACCTGCTCCATAAAAGTTTCAACATTAAGGAAATCATATAAAAATGTTAAGGCACATGATATCTAATATATGTAACGCATTAGGAGCCCCACACAACTATTTAATGCATATCGGGACATTTCAAGTATTGGAATAAAAATGATGACGATTCTAGTGACAGAAGAATATTAACATCAAGATTGTTTTGCCAAGTAGAGAGGAGTTATCTTGGGAAGAAAAGAACGAAAGCATCTGCATAGCAACTGAGAAGTACAATCCAGAGAGTTTACCATCAGAAAGCAACCATGGCCCTTCTACTTTTATTTAAAACTAGAAGCAAAACCAAAACTTAGACATGAAATGCATATGGTAAGAGACTATTTAGTGCAACGACTTTGAACACCTCAACCATAGCCTTATATAACGGAAAACGTAAAACCTGAAGTTTTGAAGGACCCAAAGCCCAGGCATATATCAAAATTTCCCCTTCCAATCTGAAGTTTTAGCACAGTGATCGGGGATGGAAAAAATAATGTATGCTAGCTTACATGATTGTGCAAAACCCTTCAAGTTGAAGTCTATAAACAGAAAAGAAAGAACTAGAAGAATGACTTGACAAGTTGACATACACATAAAGGACTAAACTCCTACATGTATACACACATATAAAGTAGAACAATGTTGACCCCAGCGGGAGTAATAATTACAAGAAGACCTGGAAAGAAGGGTACACCAATCACAAGATATGAACATGGTGAATAGATTATCCATGTATTGGGAAAAATGTCTAGAGACCTATAATATTATAATTCCAATTTCTCTAGTTGAACCAGTTGCCTACTTCAGTGGGACTGTGGGAAGATGGGCTTACACTAATGGTGATGGAGAGTGCTGAAGCAGAAATTTAAGTTCTATCTTACCCATTCAAAATGAAAGAAAAAAGAAAAAAAAAGGCACCATGATCCTTGCAAGCAAGGAGATGCAATGCCAAAGAAATGAGACAAGGGGGTTGTAATACTATGGAAGGAGAGGGAACATCAGTATGGATGCCTGGATTTTCAAATCTATTATCTTAAGGGCAAAAAGGTCCATTTCCATCCACTCAGTTCAAAGTTTTTCTTTTGTTTTCTCAATAAGTATCCTAATGAAACATTCAACTATTATCATCAACTGTATCCATCAAAAAAAGGTTATGACTCATTCTCCTGCCTCTTCCATAAGCCTTAATTGTCGTTCGTGGCTGAGGAAGTTGTGAATACCCCAGTTGTCGATGGGCTACCCGCCATGAGGACCGACATGTCACCTCAACCTCTCCATCACTTTTATTTGTAGTTGTTTTTGGTCCTTCGTTGAAGACACTTGCAGGCATGTCTTCTTGCTAGGCTCCTGAGACCATTGATTCAATGGTTGAGGAGAAACACCTTGGGTAGTTAGTCAACATGACAGCTTCAGAATTTCCCTTTTATGAAACAAGGTGTCCTTGTCATTTTGGATTCAGACCTTCACATATTTTATCTCACTTTTCTCATAGAAGTAACATTGTCACTATGAAATGCCACTTTGGCTATTGCTCAAGGAGATCAAAGGATTTTACCCGAGGCAAGCATGGAGTAAATCATTAGGATTTTGGGCTTGAAAAGAAGAAAGAAGCAAGAGAGGAGAAGGGGAACTCTAAATTGATCCATAAGGGCATGTTAAGAAGCTCTGCAAGTTTCTTGGGGCTAAGAAGAAGGAAATGTAGGAAAAAGATTTGGCTTTTGGTGTTATTGGTTCTGACCACAAGGCCAAGCCTCCAATGAGAACAAGTCTGGTGGAGAATTTGTTTCCCAATTTCTTTAGGAGAGGCCATAGAACAATAATACCAAAAGTCATAAGATTCATAATGCTTGGTTTTTGCAAGAACCCCCATATACCGCTCTAAAAATCAAGATACTCCATCACCGTAGAGATATGCAGCAACCAGTACTGCAACATTCTTAGATATAAGATCCAGACATTCTACATTCATTGAAGGAAGGGGGAAGGAAGCCTAATTTCAGACAGGAAATAGTTCAGTATACTCTTTCGAGACCAAATTGCAATTAATCTTCCATGTTGATGACGCTTTGGCGACAACAGAAAAAATCAAATGATTTAAACTATAAACATTGTCATATTGAAGGTAGAAACTATTGACATTCAAAAGCTCCATATTTTAGACACTTCCACAACTTCTATGCAACAATTTAATGGAAAAAAGAAATCCATGTCCAAACGAAATTCAGGACATCAGAACAGACCCATCACGAATCTCCAATTTCATAGTAATATCCTCTGCATATACTTTGTTATTGACGAAAAATACATTCGATTGGATGCAGCATGTATTGATTCATGGTTACATGCGTGTAATGGTCAAATGAACAATGGAAGTTTACACAATGAAATGACTTACTCAGAGTAACCAAAGCAAGCTCAAAAAAAAAAACAACACTCAAACTGAAAAAGAAAAGACTCACTTGTAACACCACAATGGCAGCAAGGACCCTGTTTGCCCATTTGATTTTCCCTAAGAATACTATCGACTCTGCACTCTCTGAGATAAACACCGCAACCCTGATTCAAAACACCAAATCAACAACACAAAAAGGCCAAAACCCCGGTGCAAAACTTGATGTTTCAAAGTCAAAATCATAGAAATAACAAAAATGAAGAATAATTATTTTTGTAGATATCAGAAGTTTCAGATGATAAAATGATTTCACGGTCCCTCGAAACACAGAGCTTGTACATAGGCTAGTAGCGCCGAAGGCAAACACTTCTAATGAGAATCACAAGCCCATCAAGAAATAGTTTCAGTAGAAAGAGAAACTCTGTTGACAAGATATTGATATAATTCTAATGTAGTAGTAATATATACACGAGGAAGAGAGAGAGAGAGCGAGAGAGAAGATTACTGCAAATTCTCAGAGAGAAAGAGAGAGAGTTATAGCAAATTCTCAAATATATAGATAAAATGAATAACGCTATCGACTATTAAAGGGAACAAGAAAAAGAAAAAGAAAACCAAAAATAGAAACCGAAGAAAAAATACGTTAAAAATGAGGAAATAGTAGTGGAAGGCAGAATCCCAATACATGAGAGCTTTCAATGACAAGTAAAATGTAAAAAACAAAAAGTCAAAACAAAAAAAGAAGAGAGACCCAAAGAAAAAGAAAAAAAGAAAACCCGATGTGAAAGAAAAGGCACCTCTACTGGTTTCCAATGGAAATGAGGTGTTTATAAACAAAAAAAAATGAAACCCGTAAATAAAAATAAAATAAGAGTAGAATAAAGAAGGAACAAAATATATGCCATACACTTAAAATCCTTATGTAGAGGGACCTGAAACGATCGAGAAAAGCTCTAAAAACGCAGCAGTAAATTAATACCATAAAAAAAAAAAATTGGGCATTAAAAATTCAACTTATAAATACTAAAAAACAAAGCCCAGAATGACAGATAAATTATAAGGAACAAACAAGGAAATTTCTCAAAGAAAAGAAAAAAAAGAAAGAGAGAGAAAGAGGAAGAGCGAGAGAATGGCTGTGGACTCACAGGAAAGGGATTTGAAAGCCAAGTTGCCCTTCTGCTTTCTTCCCTAAAAGCAATTGGGCATTCTCCATTAATGGGTCTCTTTGAGATTCATAACGACTGCTTGTTATTAAAAGCCTTATTTTTTCTCTCTCTAAATTCTCTCTACAAGTCCTCCCTCCATTTATTTGTTCTCTCTCTAAAGTCACCTATCCCTGTAACTGTTCTCTCTCTAAGTCACTCTCTCTCTTAAGTGCGTTGGTTAGAAAGAGAATTGAGAAGGGCAGGTTTATTAGGTTGCAGAGAAAGAGGAAAAGAGAGAGAGAAAGCATGTCGGCCCATTTTGTCCCTCGGCTGACTGCAACAACGAGCGAAGACCCCCTCGAACTCTCTCTCTAAGACTGTCTCTCTCTAACTCTCTCTCTCTAAGTCTCTGTCTCTCTCTCTAACTCTCTCTCTCTATTCCTTTTCTTAAGAGAAGTTTCTTTTTCTTATATATTAATGTCTCTGTCTCTCTCTAACTCTCTCTCTCTAAGTCTCTATCTCTCTCTATCCTTTTCTTAAGAGAAGTTTCTTTTTTCTTATATATTAATGGAGGGTAGGAGAGGCTTTTCGTGCACAACAAAAGCAGCTTGTCAATTTGCAGAGAAATAATGTGACTGAGAATGGTAAAAATGACTAAAATGCCATCGCACCATTTAACTTTTTCTCAAGGTCCCAAACGCCCCTGCCATGGAAAAATGACAATTGTGCCCCTAAATCCTTAAAGTGTCATTTCATTTTTATTTTGATCGATTATTGTAATTCTAAGATGTGTTCTTTGTGGTCCTTCTTTGGTCATTCAATGTTAGATCTCTCAGTCGATTTTCGATCAAGATCGATGATTCAAAGTCATTTAGTTTTAAAACACTGGGTTAAGTATATACATTTATTGATATATTATATATGTGAAACCATGGGGCGTCTGGCACTTAATTTACTTGGGTGTGTGTTTGTCATCTCCACCTAGCACTAATCTCCACCCTCCATCATAGAGAGTGCATATCTTAGAGAAGTAACATAAATTGTACTTGTTATGAAAAGTTGTATATTTTTGTATCTGTTTATACATGGCATAGTAAGTTCATGGCACATAAAAGCTTATTTTTTTGGATACTAGGCTACAATACACATAAAATAACTATAAACCCCATATCACATGTATATTAAGTATGTAATCTTTTAGTAAAGCAAAAAGATATTTTACTCTTAATGTCCATTCCCTCCATCAAGTAAAACCCCACCTATAATTAATTTTAGGATCCCAAATTTTGAGTATGTATAGACACTATGATCCCGATCGAAGAAGTTGTAGAAGACCAAAATACTCCATGCAAGCTACCCTGGAACTTGAGCTAATCACACCAATCCTGAGTTGACCACCAACCATACCCATGAACCCAGACCACTTGGGAAGTTGTAGAAGACCAAAATACTCCATGCAAGCGACCTTGGAACTTGAGCTAATCACACCAATCCTGAGTTGACCACCAACCATACCCATGAACCCAGACCACTTGGCAATGCTCAAAGCTCTGAGGAATAAACCTGAGAACGAGCATGGCATATCAAAACCAAGTTAGAAGTAGTCCGGAAGCATAAAGTTCTAACACCATTGCCACTCCCAGTGCCGACACAAGAAAACTACTTGACAATCCAAATAGACACGATGACAAGTGAAAAAAAAAAATCGGCCCGATGACATTGTTAGTGGCCCCAACACCACTTACAACCGCTTCAGGATTCTATCAGTTAAAGATGGATACATGCTAAATGTGTGAACTTGTGTCACGTATCAGTATAAACTAACACATGTCAACGAGGGCTAAAACATGTTAGATGTCAGTACGAAAGAGCGTGCCACTCTCAGATTCTTTAAATATAATGTCACATCAGCCGTTAATCATATGATGGCATCCAAACTATTGAGTGGCACCAACGACATTGGGAATGGCACCAACAATAATCAGAATGGTGCTGAAATGTGATAGGTCAGTCAGTTGTACGAAAGAATGTCCAGAAGACGACATGTAGCAATTTGCATCAGAAAGTCACTCTGAATGCCTCCAACGACACTACCACTAACATTGACCATCTAACACCTCGCCCACAAAAAGTTGTACCAGGACCAAGATCATATGATCTTAGAGTATTTAATTGTGCTGATTTTAAGTAATGCTGATTGGGCGTCATTGCCAATGGTGCCAGAATTTGAAGGCCCATATTGCATAAAAAAAAGCCCAATGGTGATCGTGGAACTGTTTTGTTTATATACATAGAGCTCCTCTTCGAGCTAGAAAAATTGAAATTTTGTGATTATGTGTGTAAGCTATGCCAAACCAGACTCGAGCCTGTCCAACACCTAAAACCAAACTCAAACCTCATATCTCAAATCTGAGGAATCTCATCCAATTCAATCCAAACCGAAGGCGGTCCAGATAATCCGACTTTTCGGGCCGTCTTCCACCCATAGCTTTGACCGGTGAAAACCTAAAGGATCGGAACTAGTCGTGCAATTATTGACTCTGAAACGGCACCAACTCTGAGCGTCAGGACTAGGGGCCCGGCCTAAGGTATCGTTTTCTTTCTTATTTTGATTTCATTAATAGCATTTATTTTGATTGCATCCTTTAGCTTTGTTCTAAGCTCTTTATAAAATCCCCTCCTCTTTTGATTAAATATTTCAAAAACCTCTCTCAAACTCTAAGGCCAAGGTGTGTGGGAAGTAGGCTTTATTGACACTTTGAGCAGGATAAGATCTTGTGGCCTAATTCTGGTCCGGAACACAAATTGACATGACTCTTTCTCTATCGACTATTTTGACGAGTTTATGCTCGAAACCAAGGTGGGGACTGCATTTTCAAGTATAAACAGTACGTAACCTCTTCAACCGATAGAGTCATCAATAATTTTTTTTCCTAATTATACTCTTTTATGCACTTGAAAAAAATAATGTCAAGATTGAATAGAGGGCATTTAATTTTTAGATGGTGAGATAACTAAAATTTCAATTTTTTTTTTTTTTTGAAAAAAATTATATAGTAACTGTTGATTGATTCCCAAAATTTCATATTGATAAAATCCTCCTTAATAGGTCTTTTAACCGAGGGCATAGAAGTAAACTATACTCCCTACTATAATATTAGTGCTCACAAGCAAATTACTATGTATAAATTATTCTTTTCTCTTTTTCTCTAGGGTGAGAAGAAATACCCTGGCCAATAAACACAATAGCATATATTTAATCTAAAGTCTTATTTTCAAAATTCCTGTGGGAAACCTAAAGGGCAAATAAATCATGAGGCCTGAATAGGAATCATAAATGAAGATAGTGCCTTATTCTCTTATTTCTTAGGCATTGCCAAGTGTTTTATCTCTATTGCCCATGCTTTGCACCATTTTAAAATAATACGATATATATGTGATAAAGTAGGAGATTTATATTGGGTGGGTATTAAGACTTGATGCTTCCATGTGGTGGCACCTATGCTAATATCACAATTTTTAAAGTATTCTCAATTTCCTATCTTCTCAAACTTCTATTTGGATTGGGGAGAAAAAGATATTAAAAAACATTATAAAACTCTCTCCTCTCTCTCTCTCTAGAAAACATTATAAACTCTCTCCCTCTCTCTCTTTAGAAACATTATAAATTGCCTCCCTCTCTCTCTCTCCCTCCCTCTCCTCCTATCTCTCTCTCATATGGAGAAAGGGATTGAAAAAGAATATCCATAGTCCCCAAAATTAGAAAAAGAAGAATAAAAAGATTGAGATTGTTGCATTATCTTTCTTTTGCCTCTTTCCCTTGAACTTTGAATAAGTTTTCATGATTTTAAATAACATTCCATCGTAACCCACATTATTAATTCGAGTAATGATCCTATGAGACCCTCCCACATTTATGTGTGTAGGACTTCAAAGGATCACCATTAAATTTGGCACAGATCTCTAAAAACATTATCACATAAGTGTGAGACTTGACTTTTTTAGAGATTTGTGTCAAATTTAATGATGATTCTTTGAGGTCCTACACACATGGGTATGGGAGGGTCTCATAAGATCATTACTCTATTAATTAATCCAAAAGATATTCTACTCCCTCGGGAGTAAAATGTTCATTTATTCCCTCAGATAGAATGCCATTTAGAATTAATTTTAGAACTCTTCAATTTGGAGATGGAATATCTTAAACCTATGGATTAATATAAAAATAAAAATTTATAGTTGTAGTATCTAGTACACTTGAAAACAAAAAACTTTTGAGATTAAATAGAGAACATCCAGTTTTTAGATGATGAGATCTAAGTGTTAGAAACACAAATTTTATTTTTTTCTAAGAATAATCACCAAATATTTTTTAAGTGTTCCCAAAATTTCACATTGAAAATTTTCATAAATAGGTCTTTGGACTAAAGGAGTAGAAGTAAACTATGCTCCTGAGCTCATTAATTAATGTGGTTGTCTACAAAGAGGTTGTTTGTCTTTTGTACATGGAGGTCACAATTATTCTCACTCATTATATGCCAAATTGGATGGCTTATGGTGAGTCACGAAATTCAAGAATTTTTTTTTAAAAACTTTGTATTCATTCAATGCCATTTTTACAACCATCCATTTTGAAATTTAAAAGACAAGAATGATTGTGACCTCCATGTACAAAAGAAGAGGCAAAAAATTTATATAAGGTTGCAACCTTAAAATGTAGAATTAAAGGTGTACCTCAAAAAATCCATCATAAAAGGTTGTTTTGATGTTGGAAAGCCCTCTAATTAATCATATCGACATCGAGATGTATGAATATGAAAAGAAAAAAAGCTTTTGAGTCCAAGAAATAGTGTATCTTGCAACACATTATCTGAACCGTCTATTTTCAAGATTTTCATGTGTATAGATCTACTAGATTTGAACCATTTTAGAGTTTAAAGTTTTATAATTAAAGATAAAAATAGATTCTCAAGCCATCGTAAGACTTTTTTATACCAAAATTATATTTATGACAAAATTTAGAGGTATGCCCTTAATTGGATTGTTTAAGGTTACAACCCTATTGAAACTATCGCTTTGTATAATAACTTTTTATTAGCATCTCTTTTTGTAGGTGCTATCATTAATCAAAGGAAAGGAAAAAATTGGGGTATTTTCATCATTTTTCTGGCAATTTTTGGGTAAAAAGTCCAATAACAAAGAGACGAGAGGATTTATTGGACCCCATCTATGAGGCGACCTCGTATTAGGGAGTCTGAACAATGCCTAATATCAGGAGTATCCTTCGTAATTGCTCACTGCTGTGATCTCATGGCTCACGATCTTGTCAAGGGGAATCTGAACCGTTCGATATGGCATGACATATAATGGCCATGGCATCTTTAGATATCATGTACCTAGTGGAAGTCTTTAATAGG